TAGCGTGTTATGAGCGTCTTTTGGTAATGTTTTTCAATTCAATTGCAACAATTTCCGCTGGAAACCTTCGTTATAGATTTGTCACAATGTGCTAACTTACCTGACCTCATCTTCATCTTATCATCCGTATAGCGTTCGTGCAGGCGGCACTATTATCATTCATTAAAAAAAAAATATATATATATATATATAAACCATCCGTGAAAAGGCAATAGGTCACGTTTTTAAATAGTTGACAATACTTCAGACCACTCCCGAGATAATAATTCTGAGCGTATGTATGTATGAATGTGTATGTGTTTGTAAGTGTTTCAATAATTAATAATTAAGTCCAATAATCGACCAGGGATGTTATGGATATGAAATATCGGATACGGATAGGTTTCGGATACAGGAATGATTATTGTACCGGATACGGATACGGATGCGGATATGAAACTATTTCGGATTATCCGTTACTTTCGGATAATTTCAGTTACGGATATTAATTTTATAAAGAATTTAAAAAGTAAAATACAAATAGCTAATAAAATGGTTACATAACATATTTCAATCAGGCTCCGTCCCTATCCGATGTTATCCGAAACCTTTATTTCGGATTCGGTTACGGTTACGAATGTTTTTTTTATATCGGATATCCGATAGTTACGGTTACGAATGTTTTTTTTATATCGGATATCCGATAGTTACGGTTACGAATGTTTTTTATATCGGATATCCGATAGTTACGGTTACGAATGTTTTTTTATATCGGATATCCGATAGTTACGGTTACGAATGTTTTTTTTATATCGGATATCCGATAGTTACGGTTACGAATGTTTTTTTTATATCGGATATCCGATAGTTACGGTTACGAATGTTTTTTTTATATCGGATATCCGATAGTTACGGTTACGAATGTTTTTTTATATCGGATATCCGATAGTTACGGTTACGAATGTTTTTTTATATCGGATATCCGATAGTTACGGTTACGAATGTTTTTTTTATATCGGATATCCGATAGTTACGGTTACGAATGTTTTTTTTATATCGGATATCCGATAGTTACGGTTACGAATGTTTTTATTATATCGGATATCCGATAGTTACGGTTACGAATGTTTTTTTTATATCGGATATCCGATAGTTACGGTTACGAATGTTTTTTTATATCGGATATCGGATAGTTTGGGTTACGGAGTTCCCCAACATATATAATATACATTATTAAGCTACTAGCAGTATCACTATGCTGATTATTCACAGTACAATATCTTACAGGCGCTTATAAACTGTGAAGATTAAAAACAACATTTTCTAATGATAGTAATAATTACTAATATAATTTAATATTGTACAAAATTACATAAATAATAAGGAATTCGAATTTTGCATAGAAATTATGATTTATTTATGACTAGCTGTGCCCGCAACTTCGTCTGCGAGGTATTTAACTATATTTCTAAAATATAAGTTTTTTTAAAATAAAAGTAGCCTAAGTTACTTATCATTACAGCGAATAAAAGTCCCGTCAAAATCGGTCCAGCCATTTCAGAGATTAGCCGGAACAAACAGACTGACAGACAGACAGGCAAAAATTATAAAAAATGTTATTTTGATATACTGTATTTATATTAGTGTTCATGTAGTAAAAAACGGTTATTTCAATGTTACATACAGACACTCCAATCTTATTTACATGTGTAGATGAACTATTACAAAGTAAAAATACAATTCGTTACGATACAGTTATCTGTATGGTAGGTCTCGTTTAATATTTCACTAACAATATAAACGTATTTAGGTAAGTCTGTGTAGACATGAAAAATGTATAAAAATAACCGTAAAAATCGTAAATTCTTTAAATTGCATTCTTTTGGGAACGCGCGGTATATCTTAAAAGAGACGTTTAGTTGCGGCTCTATCCTCTAGAATATACTGAGTGGACTAGATATATATATACTGTTTTAAGTTTGACGCGGTCATTATTTATAAGTATAATTAGTAAATCACAGGATATTACCACGTTTTATTTTTGTTGAGTTCCCGATATATATGATCACGTGATCATATACCCGTGATCGTCACCCGAAATATCGGGAACTCAACAAAAATAAAACGTGGTAATATCCCGTGATTTACTAATTAGATTAAATATAACTCAATAGGATCTAGAAAAGTAGCAATTACTCTAAAGTCTATTTCATCATAAGTTCTATATCATCGTCATCAGATCTTTACTTGTAGAGATTACAAATTGAACAGAAACTGCAATGTGGTGTCTTTAATGATAAAAAACATGACAAATGGTAGGAAGTAAGAATAGATTTTTAGAAATTTTATTTTCTCTGTATGGAACAGATATGAGATGGAAGGAAGGAGTATCTAAATATATATAACTCAAAGGTGACTAACATAGTGATCTATCACCGCACAGCCCAAACCACTGCACGGATCGGGCTGAAATTTGGCATGCAGGTAGATGTTATGACGTAGACATCCGCTAAGAAAGGATTTTGATTAATTCTACCCCCAAGGGGATAAAATAGGGGATGAAAGTTTGTATGAAACTTTGTCAATTTTAAACTGATCGGGCTGGGACTTTGCATGCATAAAGCTACTATGACGTAGGCATTCCCTAAGAAAGTATTTTGATAAATTCCACCCCTAAGGGGATAAATTAACGCGAGGGAAGCCGCGGGCAAAAGCTAGTATTTATATAAGACTCTGACCAGTCTCTGCTTAGGAATTATGTAAATAAAAAAAAATATTTATATATACAAAAGGTAGCTGCAAGGATCCTAGTTATCGATTAGTTCAGTGTCACTATTATGATATAAAGTAATGTGTGACTGTTATAATATGTAAGTAGGTGGTGCTCAATGTGCAAGTCGGTTTCTATAAATTGAGTGGCCAGTTCAGATCCGTAACGATGTCAAGTAAACAATACATCGCCGTAGTGATCCGCCTCGAAGCCAAAACTCGTCTCTCAGTTTACTACAGTTTTACTGCTTCATAACAACAACCGTTCACAGCGAGCAGTAAAAAAGAATTGCTCTCAAATCCTTAGACTTTGCCGTCTGTTTACCATCAAATATTTGGTATTGACGCGAACTTTACGCTTGTATTATTCCATTGTGGAGTTTGTACTACTTTGTGTGACGAGATGGTATATAGAGCCGTCGATGGAGACTTTTTATGACGATAGTTACTGTAGGAACATAAGAAAGGGCTTGTGATATGAGATAAGGAAAAGTTACGTCGTCATGAGTCATAAACCGTGTGTGCGAGGAGATGAACTGGGGGCTCGCTCTCCGGCAGCCTACCACTGCGCTGGTCGGGTGCGCTTTGTTATTACTTACCTGATAAGTACCGTATTTTTTATGGAGAATGAAATGGTGCATCTGTCTGTGCTATTCTTCTCCATACAAAACTTGCTACTACGAAAATATTCTATGAAACGATATTGAAACCTTCAAGAAAAGAGCTTATTCCTTTTTAAAAGGCCGACAACGTGCTTGCAATTCCCCTGGTGTTGCGGGTGCTCTTGGGCGGCGGTAATCACTTACCATCAGGTGAGCCGTATGCTTGTTTGTCCCCTGTGTTATAAAAAAAAACTTGATGAAATTCTATTCATAGAATTAAGTAACTAATATAACTGTTTGACACTATAATCAATGCAGAACAGTATAAAAAATTGAAATAAGTTCAACGTATTGGAGTTATAATGAAGTTTCAGAATAACCAAAAAATCTTTAATATTTACTGTAATATAGAGTCAGTCGAGTACGAGTACGACATGTAGTATGTACAAGTAAGACCAACCGTTTTCCCAGGACATGTTCCTAGTGTTTGTAGTGCTCTGATACGTCCTGTACAGTGTTCAAACAGCGTTCTGGGTTTTTAAATGTCAAAATTCGCGTGCCTCCTTGTAACCAAGTTTTCAATACTTTTATTAAAAATATTATTAATTTAATTACTTAAATTTCATTTCACTTATTTTTATTACATATTAATTTTGGTTATTGCAACTCTATTATTGCGTTCTGTTTTTACATTGATCAGTTCTGGTGTTTTCAAGTAAAAATCCTGCTTTTATAAATTTGCATTTGGCAACACTACAGTAAATATAGACATGACTACAGTCCCAACAAAGGACAATGGTGGTAAAATGTAATCGCTGTCTGCTGAGTGAAGGACGTATCCAATTACAACCGTCGTGTTTTTGTAAGTGTAAACAAAGGAAAAAAGCAAAATAAATCCATGGATATGATATGTTTATATTTCATTACTAGCTGTACCAGCGACTTCGTCCGCGTGGAATTAAGTAGTCCAAGTTACTCCTTATTACATCAGCTACCTGCCAATAAAAGTCCCGTCAAAATCGGTCCAGCCATTTCAGAGATTAGCCCGAGCAAACAGACAAAAATTGTAAAAGGTGTTATTTCGGTGTATGTACCGTATTTATAGTCATATGCATGAAGTAAAAAACTGTTATTATATTACAAACAGACACTGCAATTTTATTTATATGTATAGATGTAGACTATGAGTCTACTGCGAACTAACGGTCAGCAGCGCCGACAAGCAGGCAGTCGAAAATAAAACGCGACGTGATGGAAAAAACGCCACTCGCCGCGTCCGGCGCGAATCGATAACCGACCGAGTGGAATTTATAAAAGTAGCCGACCGAGCCCCCGCCGCCCCCGGCACCCCCCCGGCCCTGCCCGAGCGTCTGCGCTCTTGCTTTTTCACGTGTTTCCGTGTCTGCGCTCCTCTCTCCGGCGGGTGGGTGCCGCGCGCGAGCGAGACGGCCTCGTTTGCGCGTTTGCTTCTCAGTGCGCGTGTCTGTTTGCCGTTATGCGCGTTACCGTGTCTGCTTCGCGGTGTCGGAGTGGCCTGACGTGCTCTTCATATTATAAATTTCTGCGTAAATTTATTAAGTTTTTCGCCGAGTGAAAGTGGGAACGGTTAGTTTGTCGCGGGTCGACGGTGCAGTGGCGGTGCTGGCGGCCATGTCGCTGAGTGTGTCGGGGGAGGAGGGCGGCGGGGGCCGGGGGTCGCCGGCGGAGGGGGCGGCGGGGGCCCCGGGCCGGCCCGACGGCTGCGACGTGGGCCGTATGGTGGACTCGAGCCAGGCCGACGACCGCAAGATGATCCGGCTGGTGCGCGAGCGGCGGCTGTTGTACGCCCGGAACAACATGCCCGTGGCCAGCTTCCACTCGCAGGTGAAGAGGCTGTGGCAGCAGGTGGCCAACGAGATGGGCTGGAGCGGTACGTCACACATACACACACAGAGTACATAGTACAGGAGACAAACACCATCATTACCATATGTTTTGTTTACGTAGATTCTTCAAGTGGATGATCTACTTACCTATATTCACATATACACCGCGCATTCTAATATGACGCGGCAACGACTTGACGGTACCGGGTCTAGCGGTTTAGCACACCGTCTTACGTCCGATGGTCGCGGGTTCGATTCCTTGCACGATACAAACATTTGTATTCATGAATATGATTGTTTGTATCGATCTGGGTGTTTTCTGTTTATAATATGTATTTACGAAACAAATACCTGTATTATCTAATACCCATAACACAAGCTTTAGCTAGCGTATCTTGGGTCTAGATGGCGCTGTGTAAATTGTCCTGAGATTATTATTATTTTGATAGGTTTTGGGATAAGATTTGTAGAATGAAATTATTACTTTTTTCTTTATACAAATTGATATGTACTCCCAATTAATGGTGTAATTAAATAGTGCTCGTTCTGAAAACAGTTTTGATTCCTGCAAGCGCCATGTTAGAATGCACGCAGTATAGGTGACCTATATGCAACGACCTTCACGGCTGTGGGAGGTGCGTTTGTTTGCGCGTACGAGGACCCCGTTTCGATTCTCGGGCGGGTCAATTTAGAAAGTAGTCTTTTCTAATTTTACACGAGCGCTACATAACATAATGTATACCATTATTGGTCTTTCTAACTATAAAAGGATGTTTTCAAATCGCTTTTACCTACTTGTGACTTTCTATTATTATTTATTTATTTATTATTACAGTTACGACTATACAAACTTAAAGACCGATTATGATGATTATTTGTCGCATTTATTTTTTGTATGATATACATATATATGGTCAATAGAGATATATAAATCAATTTGACACAAAAATGATCAGATATTAAATTTGAATAATGACAACACTTTCCAATTCGGAAATCGATATTACGAGGGCCTGAGCCGAGGTTCGAACCCCTAGTGGTGCCCTCAGACTAAAGTCGTATCCGTCAGGCAGGAGTTGGCCTTCAGCCGCTCCATAAGTCCTTCCTTGGTTTGGAGTGTCATCTGCACTCGCCCCCTATCGTCCGGTGAAGCTGTAAAGGCCAGCTGCGGCCAACAGCATTATAGTGCGAAAAAAAAGCAACATATGTATATCTAAATATATATAACTCAAAGGTGGCTGACGTAGTGATCTATCAACGCACAGCCCAAACCACTGGACGGATCGGGCTGAAATTTGGCATACAGGTAGATGTTATGACGTAGGCATCCGCTAAGAAAGGATTTTGATTAATTCTACCTCCAATGGGATAAAATGGGGGATGAAAGTTTGTATGAAACTTTGTCAATTTTAAACCGATCGGGCTGAGACTCTGCATGCATAAAGCTACTATGACGTAAGCAACCCCTAAGAAAGGATTTTGATAATTTCCACCCCTAAGGGGATATATTATCGCGTGCGAAGCCGCGGGCAAAAGCCAGTTTCCCTATATTCCCCTCTCAGTTGTAGAACACAACACAGTGTATGATAGTAATGTAATCACACAGCTCATGTAATCAGTGCTCTGATAACGATAACAGCTATCGCGTTATCCGATGTGTGCACTCGTCTCTACACAAACACCGACACGAGAGCCGTGTGTATATATATACAGTTGTAATGTAAGCCATAAGGCCGTGCTTACAAAACTATATATAAATACATATATATATTATATATAAAATTCTCGTGTCACAGTTTTCGTTCCCATACTCCTCCGAAACGGCTTGACCGATTCTTATGAAATTTTGTGAGCGTATTGAGTAGGTCTGAGAATCGGCCAACATCTATTTTTCATCCCCTAAATGTTAGGGGTAGTCCACCCCTAATTTTTATTTTTATTTTAAGGCAAAACAACGTTTGCCGGGACAGCTAGTCTTATATACAAAATATATATTAGTATATATATATTTGTATCTTATGTTTTATAACAATTATGCACATTGTTTAAAGGGGATTTAGAGTCGCGGTGGTCTAGTGGTTGTGTGCTAAATCGCTACTTTTTTCTTTTGATGGCCGCCGGTTCGATTCCTCGTACGGTACTAACATTTGTATTCATAAATGACTGTTTGTATTGGTCTGGTTCTATTCTATGTATATTATGTATGTACTAGTTGTTATATATTACTAGCTGTACCCGAATTTAATTTTATGTTTCTAAACAAAGGATTTTTCTAAAATAAAATTAGCCTAAGTTACTCCTTATTACATCAACTACCTGTCAAAAAAAGTCCAATCAAAATCGGTTCAGCCATTCCAGAGATTAGCGGGAACAAATAGATAGACAGACAAGAATTGTAAAAAATGATATTTTTGTGTATGTACCGTATTTATATTCATATGCACGTTGTAAAAAACGGTTACTTCAATATTACAAACAGACATTCCAATTTTATTTATATGTATAGATGTATAGATTATTATTAATTAACATTGTCCTGTGTATGTATAGTGGCGGATGTACGGCGGAAGTGGTCCCACATCCGCAACTCGTACTCTCGCCACCTCCGCAACGAGATGCACGGCGCGCGCACCGCCCGCGGACGCACCGTCTCGCGCTGGTACCTCGCAGACGAGCTCGAGTTCCTCCGGGAGCACATGGCCACTGACACGTTAGTACCCCATCCTACCATCGACCATCGACCATCGACCACCTACAATAATAAAAATTGAATGGTACACCCACTTGTGTTAACTGCAGTAAATATAAAATATATAAAGATCTGAAATACTACATACAAAATACCTATCAACTACACTTTAAAGATAAAATACTTTTGTAAGAAAACAAAATCTAATTGAATTTAAGTTTGTTTGTTCGAGAAAACAATTTTCGAATAGAACGCGTTGATAACAATGATCAGGCAAATAAGACAAGACAAAATATGAAGGTATATAAATTGAGACTTTAGATAGATAAATAAATTCTTTATTCACAATTACAGACACATAACATACATGAGATTAGGTCAGGACAGGATAGGACAGGACAGGAGGTTAGGTCACCAGGAATTCATCACGATTGTTTCCCAGGGTATCCGCGTGGAGGCCACCACCCACATTTTTTTATTAGAATAGAATAGAAAATCATTTATTCAAATAAATTTATTTAAGCACATTTGAATAGTCAACAATTTTTTTTTAAATCTACCGCTTATTCGGAAAGCAGTTTCATCACAAGAAGAATAAACAAGAAATTTGTATGTTGGTCTTTTAAACAATCCTTGTAAGTTCACATTTTACAAGTCGAAACGTGAATACAAACTACCATCCAGCACTAATTTATTTAGGCTCAAATACAAAAACACAATAAGAAAAATCAGTCGTAGTGATAAGAGCAGACCAGTTCCTACAAGCAGGACACGTTCACGAATATGACGGATGAGCCAGCCATCACTGCGCTCGACCATATTTTAGTGTGCCCAACGACCCGGCTCACCACGCCGTCAAATGTCTGGACATTTTAGTGAGCATGACTACTCATTCCACTTGACCACGTCATAGCTACTGAATACAATAGTATAGTGCAAGCGCCTGCGACGATTTACGCTGGCGGGGAGTGGAGCATGACAATGATGAAGTCAAATCAGTTATGTTGGCACATGACGATTCACCATGAAATTTACAAAGGGAACCGCGTGAAGATGCACCTGGTGCGCATAGTTATGTCCACCATCCACATTGTGTCGTGGCGACATAGACTCCAACATCTTACAATTTGCATCCACGACCCGGTTATCAAATTAATCGGGTACAGTCGTGATTTAATCGACAAACCGGTTCTACCAGCTACTATACTGCTGTAGTATGAACTTTGACCACAAAAACAACTAGCAACTGTATAATAATAGTGTTTGTTGAGAGCGTGGCCTGCAGGTTGCTGATGATAAAAACCTTTGCTGGACCAAACTAATTATATTAAAATTATACAATAACTTAATTACACTGAGCAACGTACGTACGTACGCGTGTGTTAGACAATATCGTGGAAGAAAGTGAGATAAAAGGAATTCAATGATGCCACCCTCTCGCACTCATGCAATGGTATTACCATAGACATAAACATAAAATGATTATTTGTTGCTATCAACATATCTAATAACATTAATTTTAAATATGTTTTTCTTTAGTATAATTAGACATCAACAGCATCTATAAACTATTCAATTTCTATGATATTATTATTCTTGATACTATACCTCAATTCAGGTATTAGAAAATATGTATTTATGTCATTACTGATGTTCCTAATGTCATGTTATATCTAAAGATTTAGGTGTCCACTTCCCACTCCATCATAGTCAGGCCACATACAGACAGACAGAAATATTATACAGACCGACAGATTTTAGATAGATAGATAGATAATTGATTTATTGCCAACATAACACAAATAATACAGTTTACAATAAGACACAAAATGAGAAATAAATAATAACATAGAAAGTTGTCAATAGGAGCTGCCGCAGCTGTTGCTGATATAAGCACATCCTCAATGAGGTGCACCTATACAGCGCTGGTATCTCCCATTACTCATTAAAAAAAACTAAGATGCGGGTTTTTTACTATATAAAGATACATATAAATTAAACAAAAACAAAATTGTAATGTAAACTCAGAGCCTGGATCAATATTATACTTTTTGCTGGAAAACCATCTCATTCCCCGGGAGAAAGTGGTCCGTGTAAACGAGTTCGCAGGCACATCTAATATTAGATAATTACTGCTGCCTGTCACCCTACAAACTGTCAAGGTGCTGACATAAATAAACAGTTATTTTTCGCCTACAGATTATGTATAAATACAGTGTATATTTATATTTCTACTATAAATGAGAAAGGGCATATTATACGTTAGGTCAAGCGTGCAGACCTAATGTCAGAGAAAATATGGCGAAGTAATGGAAACGATGAGTTTAATAACTGTGAGAGGTCTAGATTTGACGGGCCCGGTGGTCTAGCTATTTAGCACATTGCCTTACTTTCGATGGTCGAGGTTTTAATTTCTCGCACGGTATAAACATTTTGTATTCATAATACCCTTGCAGCGAAACTGAGTGCAGTAGCTTTTGCCGTGCGTAAGGTTAGACAGTACACTGATACTGATACTTCTAGATTAGCCTATTTTAGTTATTTTCATAGTTTATACTCTTATGGAATATTACTATGGGGAAAAGCGGCAGATATTAAAAATATATTCATATTACAAAAACGTGCCATTCGAGCGATCTACTGTATGAAGAGTCGTGACTCATTAAGAGAGAAATTCAAAGAGGCAAATATTCTCACCGTTGCTTCTCAATTTATATATTCAAATATCCTATATGTTCATAAAAATCTTGACTTATTTCCAAAAAATAGCAATATTCATAATATTAATACTGGATTTAAAGACACACTTGCTGTCCCCAAGTATCGTTTAGAAAAAGTCAATAGATCTTTTACGGGAATAGGTATAAAAATTATAATAAGATACCAAAGGATATATTGGAATTAAATAAATTCAAAACATCTGTTAAATCATATTTATTGAGCAAAGCCTATTACTCACTAAACGATTACTTGAATGACGAGTGTGCATGGCAATAGTTGTTCATGCACTGAATTTTCATTTAATGTTAGACATAGACACCTATATAAATATACATTGTAAATAAACTGGCTTTAAAAAAATAGTAATACAATTGAGTTCCTTGTCAATTCTTCTCAATTGGATCTATATACCGGACTGGACGGTAGGGAAAAAAAATTAAATTATAATATATATATATATAAATATATAATATATATATAATTAAATTATAATACCGCGGTATATTAACTGATCCTGTATCATCGTCAGCAAAATTTTAAATTTCATTATGCGGGTGATGTTGAGACTGGCTAGTCATGCTGTGCATAAAGGTTCCTAAATAAATCTAAGATTTAAAAAAGTTCTCAGATTTGTAACATGTACTATTCAAATTGAAAACTTCATCTTACGTAGCTAAATTATGTTTACAGGCGGCCGTCGTACCCCACCACGTATGCGCCGAAGTTCCTCGAGATGGACCTATCGGAGCAGACCCCAGCGACGCCCACCGACCACGTCGACATCAAACCCTTCATCCAGAACCCGTGGTTCTCCCTCAGTACATCGCACATGAACACGTCCTTCGAGACCAAGACAGAACCATACAACCACAACGAAGACAGCACCAGCTCAGCCTTCGAGCCGGACGAGAACTCCTCCTACTTCCAATTCTTCCGCGGCATCCACAATGACTACTTGGAACTGACGCCGAAGAACCGGAGGCTTTATAAGAGACAATGCTTGAATTTTCTGCATGGATTGTTGGACATGCAGGACAACCAGCTCGGCAGCAGTTACGATCAGAATGATGCGATGAACCTTTCTAACTCGGTGAGCCTGAGCGACGAGGAACCGGAGCGGAAGGTGTGCGTGGTGGATAACGTGGAGAGTTACAACATTGTGCCCGGCAACTAACTAACGGCCGGCACACGGTCATTGGTGTACTGACGTAACAGTTCCTTCGTTTATGTACTTTTAATGTTAAAAGAAAGTTCAAATTTGTGGGTTTCCTAACATTCCTAAGTTTGGGATTCCTAAATAGTACAATAAGAGTTTTTTTTGTTTATACTTTAAATGAAAGACGAATGACTATATTCCTAAATTCTTTGCGAGTTTCTTAAATATATTACTAAGTTTGGGAAATCAGGAATGGTAAAAATAATACAGTTTTTTTTGTTTGTTTGTAGTTCATACGTTAATAATTTTTATTCATATTTTAAAAGAATAGATGAATGACTATATTCCTGAATGGAATAGAATAGAAAATCATTTATTCAAATAAACTTACATTGAAGCACTTTTGAATAGTCATTACATTTTTTTTAATCTACCGCTCGTTCGGAAAGCTGTCTCATCACAAGAAGAACGAGAAAGAAACTTGCGTGTTGCTCTTTTAAATAATTTTATTGTTACTTTACATTTTTAAGTTTAAGTGTGTGTGAATACAAACTACCGATTAGCACTAATGAATTTGTTAACACAGGAAATGTACAATTCATAGTTATTTTACTAGAAATAGTTACATTTTTAGAACACAACAGGTCAATGCGAGGATTTATAAGAAATGCTTGTTTATATAGTTCAAGTGAATTTACAGAACCGTCAGATGAAATTCGAAGAATAATAAAATAATATACTGTTTTAAACTTGACGCGGTCATTATTTATACGTATAATTAGTAAAAATCACGGGATCTTACCACGTTTTATATTTAAACGTAAACAGTTTACCCGTGATCATGGTGGTTGAAACACTACCGAAATATCGGGAACTCAGCAAATAAATATAAAACGTGGTAAGATCCCGTGATTTTTACTAATTATACGTATAAATAAAATAATAATATTTCAGGACAATTCACACAGCGCCATCTAGTCCCAAGCTAAGCAGAACTTGTGTTATGGGTACTAGACAACTCATATAAATACATGGATACATTTTTTGTAAATAAATACATATTGTACATAGAAAACATCCAGACCGATACAAACAATCATATACTCATGAATACAAATATTTGTACCGTGCGAGGAATCCAACCCGCGACCATCGGATAGTAAAGCGGCGTGATAAACCACTAGACCACCAAGGGTGTCTAATATGAAGCGATAAACTGTACATATTAATTGCAGATTTATAATTGTGATTTTAAAAGGAATAATGTAAAATATTTATTCAATGACTTATAAAATGTTAGTAAGTACAGAGTAACAATTTGGGAGTTTTTTTTGTTCTTGGGTTGCAAACATCATACTTTCATATACCTATATTTTTTAAATGTTAAAAACAATAATGTTTCTTATAGACATAATGGTGTAATGGTGAAATGTGGGGCAACCATGTGGAGTGATAACAATAATATTTATTGAAACAATAATATCTTAGATACTAATTAATAATTACAAGTATAATAATAATTATTACTAAGCAATAATTTAAGTGAAAGGGAACCTAAGGAACTATTATAATTTTAGTTTAAATTGTATTAAATCTACGTAACATAATAATATAATTTGCATTTATAGTTGAGACTAGCTGATCCCGCGACTTCGTCCGCGTGAAATTTAACTTTGTTTAGCATTAAGCACATACACCAAAATACAATTTCAATTTTCGCGTGTCACCCTAAGTATAAGTACATCTATACATATAAATAAAATTGGAGTGTCTGTTTGTAATATTGAAATAACCGTATTTTACTATACGCATATAAATATAAATACGGTACATACATACACCAAAAGAACATTTTTTTACAATTTTAGTCTGTCTGTCTGTCTGTCTGTTTGTTCCGACTAATCTTTGAAATGGCTGGACCGATTTTGAAGGGACTATTTGGCAGGTAGTCTTTACATATAAATAAAATTGGAGTGTCTGTTTGTAATACTGAAATAACCGTGTTTCAATACATGCCTATGACTATAAATACCGTACATACGCCAAAATAACATTTTTTATAATTTTTGTCTGTCTGTCTGTTTGTTTCGGCTAATCTCTGAAATGGGTGGACCGATTTTGACGGGACTTTTTTTGGCAGGTAGCTGATGTAATGAGGAGTAACTCAGGCTACTTTTATTTTAGAAAAATAAAGTAAAATTTCACGCGGACGAAGTCGCGGGTACAGCTAGTCATCTATAAAAAAAGAATTGCATCCATGTAGTCTTAACACTGCAACACGTCTTCTCCTTGAGCTGATTTTATTTTTGTGAAGGCTTTCAGTCTGGATATCTTTTAAGAGTCTTGGATTCGAATCCTGTCGTATCGAAATATTGATATTCACTTTTTTAACCTAATGATTAATTACATATACAATCAACGCAATATTAAGCATTAAAAATGAATATTTATTCAATAAGATTTAAAAATTAAAGTATTGTAAGGTAATAAAATATTTGTTACGTAGTTTTACGTATACACAGAATGTTTCCTACATTGATTTATATATAGCTAGCTATCCCGGCAACCGTTGTGTTGCCATATAAATTAAAATCGCTATTCAAAATTAGGGGTTAATTCTAGAAGAGTGAAAATTTAGGGTTGTATGTATTTTTTAACGACATATAATAAAAACTTATAAATATAAAATATTGCCCAAAAAATAAGAAATTAATGTTAGGGGTCGTCAACCCTTATCACTTAGGGGTCCGAAAAATAGATAGTAGCCGATTCTCAGACCTGTATGGTGTACATGTATCTATACATTTAAATAAAATTGGAGTGTTTGTTTGTAATATTGAAATAACCATTTTTTACTACATGCGTATGATAAATACGGTACAGACACCAAAATATTTTATTTTTAAATTTTTGTCTGTCTATCTGTTCCGGCTAATCTCTGAAATGGCTGGACCGATTTTGACGGGACTTTTTTTGGCAGGTAGCTGATGTAATAAGGAGTAACTTAGGCTACTTTTATTTTAGAAAAGTAAAGTAAAATTCCACGCGGACGAAGTCGCGGGAACAGCTAGTTAAAAATATAAATACGCCAGTGTTAATATGTATGATATGGTTCTCAGTTCATTATATTGGTTACCAAGGGCAGATTCAGCTTTGGAGCCAGGAGGGGGGCCCCAGGAGGGGGGAGCCAGGAGGGGGGCACATAGTCGTGGTCAAGTCAAGAACTTATAATTTAATTTTGATAACAATAGATACAATTAAAAAGTAGGTATTTTATTAATGTTCGTAAGTACTGTACTTAAAAAACATTTATTCTTGATTGTACACTTGAAAAACTTAGCACATAATAACTTGTACATATACACGTACATATCGCCATCTTCTCTTGAAGACATCCAGAGAAGCACTATTTAAATATAATTAATTAAATATTGAAGGTATGTAGTTACATAAAATCTGTATGGTGACAAAATATATAAATAAAATCATTCTGTTCGATTAGTGGTTCGCATAAGTTCTGGGCTCAGGGGGGGTGTCATGACCCCCATGACCCCCCTGGATCCGACGGTGTAGGTTACTAATATGTTAATTTTTGCATTTGTTACGAAAACATCACTTCATAATAATTGTAAATAAATATTTTTTTAAATACGATATTGTAGTTTCAATTATACTGATCATTCCTGGACAATTCACACAACGCCATCTAGTACCAAGGTAAGCTCCAGATTTTGTATTATGCGTACTAGACGACTGATAGAATTACTTGGATACATTTTTTTTGGAAATACAATATATAATGTGTACATAGAGGAACTCAGATCGATACAATCAATAATAGTCATAAGGGGCCGGCCAACTATTACGTAAGCTGTATGGGGAGGGGGGGGGGGGTGATCTTTGCTTTGCTTATTTTGGATGACATGGGGTGGGGGAATCTAGGGGGGAAGCTTGGCTTACTTTTGCTGACGAGCGATGGGGGGTGGGGGGGGGGGAGTAAATAATTGTAATATATTTTTATTCTCACATTTTGCCTTACAACCGTTTTGTACGCGAATCTTCATTATAAGTATTTACCATTTTCTATCCATTGCTTGATTTACATCACACATACAATCCACTCATTCTATCGCCCACATTTTGGTCCTACTTCGATAGAATTCCATCATTTACATCCTACATTTTGATTCATCTTCGCTAAAAAACCAATACAAATCAGCTTACGTAATACTTGAACGGCCCCTAAATACAAATATTTGTACTGTGCGACGATCGAATCCGCGACCATCGGAAGTAAAGTGGTTTGCTAAAACAACAACACTACCGAGGCTGTCTCAATTTCACTGCCTAAATTCAACTCGACATCGAAACAGCTTACAAAGCTAAGTGCTTGGCTAAAATAGTCGCGACTAATGTACTCATACACATAACTTTTTGCAATATCTACCTCGGTAGATTAGTTGCTAAATAAATAGCTAGTTTCTTGAAAGCGACTACAGTTATGAATACGACTGTGGCATATGCCTGAAGAAAATATACCCGACAGCCGAGCGGACACGTGAGGAAATAGAAATAGAAATAATCTTTATTCAAATAAACTCATTACAAGCACTTTTGAATAGTCATATTTTGATTCTACCACTCATTCGGAATGCAGATTCATCACAAGAAGAATGAGCACGAAACTTGTGTGTTGCTCTTAAGAATATATGTTTTTTTATATATATAAATAGAGGATTATATACAACAACAAAAACTGTCTCCACATCATTCATTCAAATTCAAAATATCTTTATTCATGTAGGTCTATTACAGACTTATGATATTTCAAATCTACCGTCAGTTCGGAATGATTTCTGTTGGTAGTGAAAATCGACCACAACTCTATAATGCTATAACTTATATCTACTCTGTGTATATATATCTGTCACTTCTTCTCTCTCTGTATCTCAATGGTAAATGTAATAAAAAGTTATAATTAGTTCTGCATATTTTAATTAATAACCACATCTAAAAAGTAAATCGATCCATCAATTTCGAGATGAGAAGAACTGACCAGAAACTCAGCTCGTATTCTTTTCAAATATATGTTGTACAGTTTA